AATTCCTGACAGGTTTTAAAGTTGCGAAAACCAGTTTCAAAAGTAGGCTAAGCTACCAATAATTGGTCTAAATCATGTGCATCATCGTGCATTATCCTGTATTATCACTATTTTGATCAGCATGTTGATCAAAATTCATATTTATCACTAAAATTTAATTAGTGATACGAGACAAATCGGCCCATATGATCATTACATGAATTGGAGTCGCCATCGTGCGTATTATCATCATTCACCTCATTAAAATACACATCATTATCGACTACATTTGATGACGTTTTGTTTTGCCTTTCTTCCTCGAGAGCCTCCCAGCTTAGCGCGATCGTTTTATCAAAATCATCCTCAACTAGTATGAGCAAAGTTGATGCATTTCTTCAGGTAAGATTTTTTTAGGACGAGTGCGTAAATCTCTTCTGGAACTTTAAAAAAAAAAGCTGTATAACATCGCACAGAACAGTTGATATATGATGACGTATTGTATCTACGCGTCTTTTATATAACACGTTCACGTCCATTCCCAAACTCTTTTTCATAATATTTTTTTATGAGCTTTATATAATGTTATCAGAAGAAGTTATGAATGAACTTTGTTACGCTAAATACTGGAAAAGACCACTCTCAAAGTGGAACTATAATACTTAGGAGCAGTTTTACTCTGAGCAACATCCAAAAGAGTCAAAAGTGTTGAAAGAATCGTTACGTCGTGCTCTCGGAAAAGAGATAGAATTGTTGGAAAAACATGTGAAACCAAATTCAAAAGAAGGTCTCAGGTTATCAGTTTTGAAAAATCAATTAAAGGTTAGTATCTTTACACGTTTTCAGGAATGTGAAGATGCTAACGAGAATAACAAAACATGTGCTACGCTCTGTGTTTGCATACATAGGGAAGAGCGACCCTATCACATTAGTGCTGTGGCGAGCACATCTTGCTATTGAGATTTTTGATTAGGATCTGCTAATTTTGGAGGAGAAATCGGCTATGTATCTTCCCTATGGTGAATCTTTACTCACACTGCTCTTTATATAATATCAGGCATCCTGAAAAAAAGGCAAAAGCAAAGAAAACGTTCCCCCAAAAAGAAATAATGTCAAGGCAGAAGATGAGCGTGCTTCAAAAAGAAAATAAACTCATTGTCAGAAAAAAATTATAAAGAATATACTTCAAGAGTCAAAGGACGGGGTATGAGGTTAATACTTCTTATTATTTCATTCCATTACTCATTGTCAGTTATTTGAAAATCAGTGGTTAGTTTGTGATATAAATGTTACGAAAAGATTTCAAGAATACCAACAAAAGACTCTCAAAAAACTTAATTCGCGCGGATTAACCTGGCATGACACATATAAAATCTTGTAAGTGATAAGATTTGTAAACGCAATTATTACACTCGTATTTAAATATTATAAATATTGTAACTTTAGAGCACTTTCATCAATAATGGTACTTGATCAATGTTACCCCTATAATTTCACCAATGAAGAATGGCAGAAAATAATTGAAATGAATCCATATGCAATCCATAAACTAGTGCTATTAACCCCACTATCTAATGCTTTACATGAAGCCATGATCAAGCACTTATCAGGCCAAGACAGTTAATATAGGCGTATTTGGGGTTCTGTGACAAAATTCAAAAAGGTATAAAATAGTGTGTAGCATCCTCCTGGCTACTTTCCTGATATACAAAATTTTGAATTCTTTATTAAACCCCAA